CTTGGATTTTACGTGCTTCTTCATCTCCTGTTGCGCGTAGCATTTTTGCAATGCGTTCACGGTCGCTTCGCATGCGACGATAAACAGCATCACTGTTTGCTTTTGGAAGATCGGCTCGAACAATACGTACATCGCGTACTTCGACACCGTATTTTTCTGATTCTAAGCGAACTTTTTCCTGGATCTGTTCCATAATGATAGAACGATCTTGGGATAAAAGATTGGCTAAAGGATAACGTCCTAGAACTTCTTGCATGGCAGATTTTGCAAAAGAGGTTAAACGTTCTCGGAAAATTTCTGGACGTGTCGCTGTTCTAAAGAATCGCAAGGGATCTTTGATCAGGTAACGTGCATATAAATCAATAATGATCTTTTTTTGATCTCCTGCGGTGACTTCTAAAGGAAGCAAAGTATCCCCTTGAAGACGACGATCGTAGCGCACAACTCTTTGAATAAAAGGAATTTTCCAGTTTAGACCGGGCTTTTCAATCGTACGTTTATGTTCGTCTAGTTGAAAAACCAAAACTTTTTCTGTTTGGTATACTGTAAACAAAGATGTAGAAGCGAGAATAACAAGTCCCACCCCAAAAACAATTAAGGTTGTAAGGGTTTTTTGATTCATTGTGCTGTCTCCTGAGATTCAGAGTTTTGATCTTGCTTAGGACGCAAATCTGGTAAAGGCAAATAAGGTAAAACACCTTGAGTCGCCCCAGCATTTCCAGACATCATCACTTTTTGTGCATTCCCAAGAACTTGCTCAATTGTTTCAAGATACATGCGTTTGCGTGTTACATCAGGAGCCGCACGATATTGCTGAAGGATAGAAAGAAAGCGTTGTGCATCACCTAATGCTCGTGCTTCGACAGACTGACGATACGCTTTTGCTTGTTGGATTATTTTTTCGGCTTCACCGCGTGCAACAGGAACAACTGAGTCGCGATAACCGCGCGCTTCATTAATTCTACGTTCCTTGTCTGCTCTAGCACTTTGAACATCCCGAAAGGCGTCAATTACTGTGGGGGGTGCTTCAACTTTTACAAGGTTTACTTTATCGATTTCAATTCCAATTTGGTATTCATCGGCAATCCTTTGAAGGACTTGATGAATGCGTGCGGCTATTTCTTGTTTTCCCTTTGTCAGCGCTGATTCCATAAGTGTTTGTGCAATGACTTCACGTACGGCACTTTCCGCAGCTACACGTACAGTCATTTCTGGCGCTAGGACTCGGAACAAGTACTGTCCTAAGTCTTTAATGAACCAGTGTACGGTTACATTGACGTCTAAGATATTTTCATCTCCTGTGAGCATGAAGACTTGCTCTTCACGCGTTCTGGTGAAAGGAGAGGTTTGCATTCCCACTTGAAAAGAACGTTTTTCAGAGACAGCCTGGATTAAGTGTTCTTCGATGGGAGAAGGTAGATGGTAATGTAAACCAGACTCTTTAACGGTTTTAACAACCGCCCCAAAGCGTAAAATTATCGCTTGTTCTTTTTCGCTAACACGATAAAAACCGGTCGAAGCCCAAAATAGGAGTGCAACAATTAAGATTCCTAAAAGTCCTTTGATGCCCCCAGCTCCTTTTCCACCACCAGGAAAAGCTTTTTTAAAACTTTTTTGGCTACGTTTTAGCCATTCTTCAAAGTCTGGGATCTCGGGTCTTCCTCCAGATCCGCTTCCTCGAGGACTGTTATTATTTCCTGGCCCCCAAGGACCGCCACCGTTTGATGCCATGATTACAGAACCTTAATATTGTTAAGAGATATCAATATAAGCCACTTGAACGTTTGAAACAATGGTGTGTTAAGGCTTTTCAATATTTTGGTATATTTCCTC